GTTTATTTTGTTTTTTAGAATCCACAAATACGTGAAGTCATATGATATTTGTCTCTCTCTGTCTAACTTATTTCACTGAGCACAGTACTCTTTATATTCATCCATGCTATCTCAAATGGTATGATTTCATTCTTTATTATGATTGAGTAGTATTCCATTATATATATGTACTACCTATACTTTATCTACTTGTCTATTTTTGGGCACTTAGGTTACTTACATATCTTGTCTATTGTAAATAATGCTTCAATGAATATAGGAGTCATATATTCTTTTGAAATAGTGTTTTGGATTTCTTCTAATATATAACCAGAAGTGAGGTCACTGTGTCATAATGTAGTTCTATTTTTAATTCTTTTGAGAAACATCCTTTCTCTTTTCCATAGTAGCTGCACAAATCTGCATTCCCACCAACAGTGCACAATGGTCCCCTTTTTTCCACATCCTCACCAACCCTTATAGCTTGTTTATTTATTAATGAGAGCCATTCGGACAGGCATAAGGTGATATCTCATTGTGGTTTTAACTTGCATTTCTCTGATGATTAGTGGTTGAACATCTCTTTTCATACGTGTATTGACCTTCATGTCTGAGATTTTACTCTGTATGTTTTATTCTAGTAGTTTTATGGTTTTGAGTCTTACATTTAAGTGTTTACTGTCTATGTTTTATTCTAGTAGTTTTATGGTTTTGAGTCTTACATTTAAGTCTTTAATCTATTTTGAGCTTATTCTTGTATATGGTGTAAGAAGGTGGTGTAGTTTCACTTCTTTTGTACATATTTGTCTAATTTCCCAACACCATGCACCGCCAGGCTGCCTTTACCCCATTGTATGTTGTTTTGCCTCCTTTGTCATCTATTATTTGATCATATTTGCATGGATTTATTTCTGGGCACTCTGTTGTGTTCAATTGATCTATATGTCTGTTTTTATTCCAGCACTATGCTGTTTTGATAACCATAGCATAGATTATAGTTTGGTATCAGGTAGCATAATACCTCCAACTTTGTTCTTTCTCAGTATGTCTGTGACCCTTCAGGGTCTTTTATGGTTTCATATACATTTTTGGATTATTTATTGTACCGATGTGAAAAACACCATTGTTATTTTGATAGGGATTGTGTTGAATCTATAGATTCATAATAGGTATTATAGACATTTTAATTATGTTAATTATTTCTATCTGTATCATAGCTTTTTTTTCAATTTACTCATATTTACCCATGCTGGAGGTGGAAATCCTAGGGATCTGCAGGTCTGCAGGTGGGGCAGCAAGATTTTGACTGTCATACTGCATGCCTTCATTTGACTTATTTCTTTTCTTAGTGATTTCTCTTTTTTTTTCCCCTCTGAGGATTGTTCCTTGTCTTTCCATTCTAACTATCATCAGAAGGTCCAAACACTGAGTTGCAGGGCCTGAGTCATGTGCCATGGGAATGCCGTGCCTCTGAAGTGTCACTGAAGAGCTCTGACACTGAGATCTGTGGCTGCCATGGGTCAGTGGGTGCCATGTGAGCTGAGAATCAGTCACTGGTGCTCAGTGGAGTCTGGT